TGATCTCACTTGAGCCAGCGCAGCGGCCGCCCTCACCTGAACTCCCGTAGTGATGGGAGCTGCAGAGACCAGCGCAGCGGTCGGCCTCACCTGAGCCTCCATGTTGATGGGAGCTGCAGAGGCCTCGCCCGAACCTCCGTGGGGATGGGAACTGCAGAGGCCGGCCCGAACCTCCGTGGTGATGGGAGCTGCAGAGGCCAGCGCAGCGGGCGGTCGGGCCTGAAACCCCGTGGTGATGGGAGCTGCAGAGGCCCGCCCGAAGCTCCGTGGTGATGGGGCTGCAGACGGCCAGCGCAGCGGGCGGTCGGGCCTGAAACCCCGTGGTGATGGGAGCTGCAGAGGCCCACCCGAACCTCCGTGGTGATAGGGGCTGCAAAGGCCAGCGTGCGGCCGACCTCAGGGCCAGCGTAGTCGCCAGACCCGCTGGGTCCGGCTGGGCAGCTCGCATCACCGGAGCGAGCCGCGGCGGCTCTCACGAGCCGACCCCATGTGAGACAGGTCCACGTCTTGTGCCAAACCAAGCGCAGCGTCCGGTCTCTTTAGAGCCAGCGCCGGGGACGGCTTCATTGGAGTTGAGACGACAGCTGGTGCGCCACAGCCAGCGCGGCTCTCAGTATCATCGAAGCCAGAGCGTTCATCACCTCGCAGAGGCCAGTGGGCATCGCGGCTGGGGTCATTACCGGAGCCGGTCCAAGCGCGACGACGTAAACGGTCTGGAGGAAGAACTAATGGTGTTATATGTCCGCCCGACGAGATTTGACTTGCCGTGGTGCAGCGCCAGATAATGTGCGGTGCTAAGCTTAGAAAGTTCTCAACGGCCTCAGATTCTTCAATCTTGGTAGAGCGGTTTATTTATACACAGAATGGGAAAGTGGAAATTTGTCATATCTATCGCTCTGCGCATACACGACTTTGCGCGCTTCTGTCACGAACAGTACCCTACCATGACCTTCGGTAAGCTTGACATAAGTGGGACCTTCACTTGCTCAGCAGGCACATCGACGGCCACGACTGCGGGAGTTGGAGATTCCATTCCTGATGATATCTGACTTTTCTGGGCACTGGAGAGGAACTATTTCATCAGACCGTCACTGCCCGGCACGTAGCTACCGCTGAAGGCTGGAGATGGAAGGAGGGAGGGGGGAGAGGGGCACTACCTGTCTGAATACGCATCAGACTGATGCCACCGTAATATAGTTGGCAGGTATGTGACATAGACAGTGCTAACAAAAAGTACCAGAAACCCTGACTAGCTAGTAAATGAAACCGTGACTAAGAACGAACTGAAACCGTGACCAAAAAGTACCTGAAACCGTGAATGATTGCAGATTACAGCAGCGATTTAAGGTGGCTCTTGAATCGAATCCAAATAGTTTTATGACTTCGGTAACTATGAGCATTTGATTGAAAGTTCCATGATTTAGGGAAGTCGGGTGGCATGGCACTTCTACCAAGGAGCAAAATCAGGAAACAGTTAATCGTGTTTAGGCCATTATTTGATTAGGCTCACCGAACGGAAGTAAGCGAACGGTTTCTCAACCTTCAGGTTATTGGAATCGATCGTAGGACATGCCACTGCAACATGTCAGCCAGTGCACAATACATGGAGACCTGACTCTACATACAAGGAACGTTTTGGGTCATATACTCCACAAGAGCACACGTTCCACAAAGCATTTCGGTGCTCCACTTTCGCGACGGGTGTTATCACGCTCACGCAACCCACCACAGCAGCAGGGTGGATCCGCTGAGCCGCGTCGGATCGGAATGCTGAGAAGTGAAACAGCATTATCAGCGGATGCCATCGCCTCCTACCACATATTCGAGTCAGATTAACTCACAATACCAGGACGCAGCGACCACCTGGGGTTGAAGCCACACAGCACGCGACGACAGCTCAGCACTTTCTGGCGAGCCACATGCTGTGCATCTTGTGGGTGCCAGTTATTTAGTAGGTCCTTCTTCATCACTGAAATGTTTCATTGTATCATCTTGCTGTGTTATGACCCAAGCTATGTTGATTGTAATGTCTGTTGCCTTCTTGTGTTAATAATTTATATTTTCTTCCACGAGGTGTCCGGCAAAACCCAAGGTTCTTAGGAGTTGCCACCCAATGGCCTGCAGTTAATGCGATTATTGCGCAGTTGATTCAAATACAGTTCACGTTGTGTTTCTAGCAGTTTCTAGCATTTAATTGGCATGCTTATCTTAACCCTATTATTAAAAGTGCCATGAAACACAGGAAGCATGTCGGCCAGGTATTTACATGTCAAAAGGAATACAAAGGTCAAGGGACAAGTGACAGACTTGAAATCTAAGGGACACTTGTACATGATTATGTGGTGTGATGTTTGTAGGCTTAACCCTTGCTGGACGCAGGAAAGTCCTGACAGGCCCCACTGAGGTTTTTCATGAATAACTTGGCAACCATAAACGCTGTGCTGTTTTTTAGCAACCCAATGTATTAAATTTTGACCCGTTCTGTCAGCACTTTTATCCGAGCAGGCCGTAACGTTTGACATGTTTATGGAGGTCGTTTTTGTCAGGTTTCTCTCAAGTCGACAATCGTGCTTACTGGTTGGCAATTTGGATATGCCTCTTGCTTTATTATATCTACAATTGGTTTTGACGCTGGTTATATCGGGCTGCCGTCAGTTATATGGGGCATGATTGTCTGGAAAGGTGGTGGCTCAGGTCATCAGAGGTCGAGGTAGTTCGGATTGTCTGGGAAGGTGATGCCTCAGGTCATCAGAGATCGGGCTGGTTCGGATTGTCTGGGAAAGTGATGGCTCAGGTCATCAGAGGTCGGGCTAGTTCATATTGTCTGGGAGGGTGATGGCTCAGGTCATCAGAGGTCGTCAGAGGTCGGGCTAGTTCATATTGTCGGGAAGGGTGATGGCCCAGGTCATCAGAGGTCGTCAGAAGTCGGGCTAGTTCATATTGTCGGGGAGGGTGATGGCTCAGGTCATCAGAGGTCGTCAGAGGTCGGGCTAGTTCAGATTGTCGAGGAAAGTGATAGCTCAGTTATCAGAGGTCGTCAGAGGTCGGGCTAGTTCAGATTGTCTGGTAGGGTGATGACTCAGGTCGTCAGATGTCGGGCTAGTTCAAGCATGTGCAAACGTTCTTTTATGCGGGAGTTATGGTGCCTTTTTGTTGCAAAAATAGTTTGTTGCGATCCACCTGTGACTGCTTGAACGCCATTTTGACGAACATGGCGTGGCAACGAGTGAACATGTGGGGTCAAAATCACGTTACGTCAGCGAAATGTAAACTATACCTAAGTACCACTAGGTATAGGTTGCGCCGTGGCCGATGCAGAAGTGCTTTTATCGTATGTGTGTGTGTGTGGGGTGGAGGGGGGGGGGGTTACCAGCTTTGCTTATGGGTGCTTCCATGCAAGCCACATCGGTCTTGCAAAGGTCAAGGAAGGCCATGACCTTGAGTCAGTGTTTCAATACGCGACCCCGTGGGTGGCAGGGATGTAAATATTTGTTCATGCTATTACACCTCCGGCATGGGTTTACTGTCTGTTGCTCCTCCCCTCTCTCAGAGTCGCCGGATCAGCGTCGAACCGTGCAGCGGGCAACCCAGCGTTCAAGCACCTAGGCTTGACAAATGGGCCGGACAGGTCGGATGATTTAGTTGCGGGGTCAAAGGGCTACGGATCAGCGCCAACGAATTCTGTGCGGAGGCGTCCAGAGAGGCAGGATTCTGGTAGCATATGTTTATATTTACATTCTAGGCACCCCAGTGGAAGAATTTTGAGCCGCTGCCTTGAATTGTAAGTGCCTGTATTAGTGCCCATCTAAAGTGGACTGCCGTCCCCCGTGAACGGATATATCTGTTTCACTATGGGGCTAATGAAGCCTGAGTGCGCTGGTTTGCCCTTGACCTGCATTGCGTAAGAGCCGCATTATTATGATTATTGGAATACATTGCAATATGCCGTGACCTTGTCTGACCTGGGACAGGTCTTCCACATGATTTCAGCTATATGCCATTTGAAACACACGTCATATTGGGCTGCCCGTCGTGATGTTGGTGGCTTATCACATGACGAGTATAGTAAATGTTTAGCCTGAGAAGGAAGCTGACCTTGATCTGTCGAATGTCACATGCATGCAATCCAAATTATTCCCAACTGAAAAATGTCGGAAAATTCAAAGTTGGTTTGTACGACGATCGTATCACAAATGTCTTTTGTATAGCAACACATGCATGCGTGCCGAAAGCAACCTAGCTCGACCCCAGAGGTCAAAAGCTGACGTGAAAAGAAGACGGGTCGGTTCAACAGTTTGGACAAGGATCATTGTGTCGGTCGTTTCCCCTCACCTCATCATGTACAGTATGGCACATACCGGTAGAAGACTATATATGAGGCACTCCAATGGACATTTCCTATATGGCGATGTTTCTGTGACCTGAGAGATCACTCATTTGACCCTGAACCGAAGACCCGGGCATCTCCACAACCAGCAGAGAAAAAAGGCGTGCTGGTGGTCGTGGACTTGCTTTTGGTTTATAAGTAATTATGTCGGTTGCTTTTTGTTTATATGTTTGTCATTATACACATTTCCTCTGGTTTTCGATTGGACCCGTTAATGATCACTATCGTGACCTGGAAGGTCACGTATTGACGCGAATCACGATATCGGAAGTATTTAGAATGCTTGGGCACCGAATAGTGCACTGTTTTTTATCGCGGTGCTCTATCTGTATTACTGCAATGGTAATTAAGGGCGGGGGTCTGTTAGGCGCCCCCCCCCCCCCCGTCGGGCGGGTGTAAAGATGACCGCGCCGTGCGAGGGATGCGAGCCAAACAAATGTCCTTAAGTGCCCCTAACTACCTCTTAAATTTTTAGCTCAACAGCACGCCTCGTCGGGTCCACCAACCGGTAAAAGGCTCCGAGAGTCAATGTCTTGTCAGATTTAGTGTTTTGTCAGCTCAGGAAGTTGCGTCCGTTGCCGCTATGCCCTCTCATAGAGTTCCACTGTTTCAGGTGCTACCTTCTGTACTTGGGAAATTGGACAGCAGACTCACGTCTCTAGTAAGTGCTCATGTGTCTGCTCAGTGGCGAAGGCGGGTCTTCAGAGGTGAAGGAGGGGGGGGGGGGGCAAACGCGATTTTTGTATGTTTTTTTTCAGTGCGACGCTACGAACCTAACGCTTATTCTCTTCCGGGGTGGATTGGCTGCTTCCCCCTGCACCACGCCCCCCCCCCCCCCCATTTTTCCGTCCTTGCTGGGCCCTACGGCTTGAGCTTCTTGGATAGCGAATTTTGGGAGCGTCACAAGTTTGACCATCGGGTGGGAAGTCATAGTCTGAGACGATTACCGCGCTCTGGAATAATTACACTGTTCAACTTTCGGCGTTATCAGTGACGGTGTCATTGTATGGATATGACACAATGTTATGTATTTAGTGTCGGCCTATGGAGGGCACCAATGAGGGAAGAAGTTGCAATAGCGACAAAGTGCCTTCTGGTATTGGATTCGGCAAGTCATCGGCTGATTAAGGGCGTACAGAAAAAAACTACCCTAACTGCGTACCCAGAAGAGAATGGGGAATATTATTAGTTTTAAAGCACCGTCAGCCCCGACAGATATATGGCAGCGAAAACATGGGCATTTGTAAGCAGTGGCTAGGTCAGGGAGGAGCTGTTTAGGGCCATAGTACCCTCCCCTTCCTGCTCTGGGGGAAGGATGGCTCCCGCCCGCTATATGCCGCCTCGGAAGGCGGCGAAAGCCTCCTAGGACCGAACACCTTAGTGCGACTTCGGCCGTTCGATTCTTTCAAAAGGCTGCTAAACAAAAACGGTCCTTTAGGCACCAAAATAGTATCCTCAACCTGAAAAGGTGCTCTGAATCCAGAACACGGACCCCTTGGCGACAAAGCCCCCTGGCTGCAACGATGGGTGTAATAACCACTAGAGTGTTGGGGTGCACGACCTAGTATGGCCCTCTCCTTCGGAAAATTCCGGCTACGCCACTGTTTGCAATGACTTGTTCAACTTACCTTTCAGAAACTGTTCGACCAAAATGTTGTCATCCATCCTTGAAAGTACCGCTACCAGACCATATGGCCCGTGTTAAGCCAAACCTAGCGGAATGGTCCGCTTAAGGAGCCGACGTCTGGTAACAAGAAAAACGTGGCACGTACCAGCAGGAGATGGTGTAACTTCCACTCATTGATCACAACAGCGATTCTTGCGTTGTCCCGATTCTTGCAAGCCGAAGGCGGGCTTCGTACCGGACACAGTTACAACAGAACACATACGGATTCGCGTCACCGTGTCAGGAACGCCGGATGACCTTGAAAAGTTGAACATGGACGGCTGCCGACCATATCGTACTTGTAAACGTTGCGAATGTGCCGCACATACGACGATACTTTGATAGCCGTGCCGCCGTTGAATTATCCGTGCCGCATTCGCCGCGCACACTCATTCGTCCTTCGGAACGCATTTGGGCGCGTCAAAAGGTGACCATGTTCACCTTTCCTGAACGCCTGCAGACGCGGACAAAGGGTCTCCCAAAAACATTCGCCGAAAACGCGTGGTGATGCGTGATTTTTGGCGCAGCGATGCGTGCTTCAGGCGTGTCCTCAGCGTCCTCGGTAACCGAGTTTGGTGTGAAGCCTGCTAAGACCTTCACATTTTGTCTTCATAGATGCCTTGGATCCAGTAAACACCACGCTGACGCCAATGATTGACAGCCTTACGAAAGCAACAGGGTCATTTTAGCGAAATACGAAACCGTACAAGCCATCAACGAAACGCAACTTCCAAACGATTAGACCAAACAGCGCGCGTCCGGTCAGCTGCCGGTGCTGGCTGTCGGCCCTGGCCTCTTGGGCATCCTGTTTCCTTGGCTGTGGCATCGAGGCGGACTGATGGCAAGGCTAGTGCCGGCCGGTTGTGCCGAGCGGCTTCGCCAGCGAGTCGTGCAGGCTCCGCCGGCGTGAGTCACACTGGCCGGCCTCAGAGCAGGTACCGGTTTGGCCAGGCATGTCGCAGCAGTATCACGCCGCAACGCAGGGTGGCCCCATCTGGCGCGGAGGGCAGGCGGGCCGCTGATGCGCGGTTTAAACCGCAGTCCCGCGGCGTCCCCCCCCTCTCCCTCTCCCTCCCGCCGCCCCCGTCCGCCTGACGCGGATGGCCGACGTTCTGTGAGCGGGCCACCCCGGCGTGGCGTCCTTTCCACAGCGCTGTCTCTGGCCGAGAACAAGCGTTTCTCTGATTAAACGTCGCCGCCCGGGAGTCCCTGGAGTCCCCCCGCAGGCACGGAGGATCGGCATCCGTCTCAGTGATTCCCGCCTCCAGCTCCACACTCCTGATGCGGCGTAGCGGCCGCGGCCATGCCCATAAAGCGTCCCTCTGGCGGCGTCCGCGCCGGCCGCCGATACCGTCCTTGACAGGTTCATTCCCGCACGGCCAGCGCGGCACCGAGCAGCCGCCGCCGATGTCTACACGTGCGCGGCCGCAGAGGCAGTGGGCAACGGGCCGGTGGCGTGAAATGAGGCTCTGCTCGGAATTCGTCGGCCGAGCGGCGATGATTCAAAAAGCGCGTGTCATTTCGGGTGTGATAATTGGCTCGCTTGGTTCATAACGCGTTAAACCGGAAATGTTGTGGTATTTTCAATATTTTCACATCCATCGTTCCATTTTGTCTTTTTCGAAAGTTTCGGCAAAATGAGCCATGGGTGCAAACTTTGAAATACGATGACAATGTGTGGACGCAGACATGGGCAACTTACGAACTTACCTTTCGCCACATTACCTATCCGACTATTTATGGTTCGTGGACTTGTTAGGTTCTCCACATACTTGTACCCATACCTGCAATTTCCCGCAAATCTGCACTCTCACCCCATCAGTTACCCGTCGTATCTGGGCCCTAATCCCCCGGGCTCACTCAGTTCATGAAGGTCGGCGCTGCGGGCCGCCGGCCAGTGAAAGCACGTGAGTGGATAATTTTGGGCGCCATGCCACGCCGCACCGCGGATGTACACCCCAAACCGTATGGGTTTTCGCGTGCTTTTTATTTTTTGCGTGGAATTGTGTTGTGCTCTGACCTTTTATCTTTTAATTTATATGTATATTTTATGTTATGCTGAAGTATGTCCTAACTGTGTCCTGAACCGCAGGATGTTTCGTAGGTACGTAGCGATCTTTCATTGCTTGCTCTCGTCACCTTACATTTTTTGTGTCGTGTGGCTCACTAGTTCGCTTCTTCACCGCCTTGCATTTTCGATGCCGTATGGTTCAACAGTGCGCTTCGTTGCCCTTGTGGTTTTTCAATATATATGGCATGCACCGGTGTATTTAATGAGTTGCTGGCAATTTGTTAGATAACACAACTTATATTCAGAACATTTCTATCATAAAGTTCACGCATACACCATAAACGGCGCCCAGACCCCATTACGTTCCTGAAGCACCGATTCGAAAACGCAAAGTTATAGATTTTCGGGGAATGTTTCACAACTGCGTGGATATGCATGTTTTCGCCGCCTTTACGGGGCCGTGTAACAAACCAGATTTCTTCATTTACTTGAGTAGTTATCTTAAGGCATGGAGCATGTAGGTATGGTATGTACACTTCCTGTGTAGTTATTACTGAGTTTTATTGAGTAGCACACAAGGCTTGAATTGGGTTGCTTTTTCATTGGTTGTATACCAGTCGATATTTAAAAACATTTTCGGCTTACAGCAGGTACGCATACGCCGTAAATGGCGGCCAACTCCGATTACAATCCTGAAGTACAAAAACCCAAATTTTGCTGCACACCGGACACGGAACACCACTTGTAATCCAGCCAGGGAAGTCGGTCTGAAGAACAAAAACCCAAATTTTGCTGCAAACCGGACACGGGAACACCACTTGTAATCCAGCCAGGGAAGTCGGTCTGAAGAACAAAAACCCAAATTTTGCTGCACACCGCACACGGGAACACCACTTGTAATCCAGCCAGGGAAGTCGGTCTGAAGAACAAAAACCCAAATTTTGCTGCACACCGCACACGGGAACACCACTTGTAATCCAGCCAGGGAAGTCGGATGTGGATCTAGTCCGCTTACGGAAGTTACGCTAGTATCTTAAACATCAATATATTTTATATTTTATCAATGGTGCAGGTTGACACCAGTGTGTCGCTCGCCCATGCGTATTGCTGCCTCCTCATCTACACAAACATTGTCTTCGCCGGTGGTCTCCTGTCTCGTGACTTGACTTGCTTTATGTACGCTGGCTGGATTGCCCCTGATGGTCGTCTGCCAACCTTAAAATATGGTTACGCAGAGAAGGACGCCTTTACCCCCCCCCCCCCAAAAAAAAACAATTGATTCGCTGGCGTGGATGGAATAACACTAATCTTGCAGCAGTTTATCATGCATAGCACCTGTATGCTTCGGACAAGTTTGTGTTATCCATTGCGTGCTAGCCACATGCTGTCAGGCCACATGCTAAGCGTAACGTCTAAAATTTTAAAAGGACACATCCCTTCAACTAATTCATTTTCGCTACCTGAGTTTGCATAATTTTTACTTGTGAAAATGTGAAGTTCCTATCCTCGACGGATCACGATTAATGACCTTTGAGGTCATGCTAGTGTATCGCGCAATAGCGTTTAACAACTTCTGTTTCTTGCAAAAATCACCCGAAAGGGATTTCCTACACGTTTTTTTCATGCGTATCACTGAAGTGCATTATTATCATTCGGTGACCTGCAAGGTCAGGGCATCCAAAGTCAAGCATTTATGACCAGATTTGACCGTTATTGGTTTGACCGATTTGACCGTTACATCCTTGACCGTTTGACCAGTTTTGGCCTTGCGATTTAAACTGCGATGGCATATCTCTCATGGCATGAGAAGGCATTTATAATGTTGTTTCCACATTGGTGTGACGTGTTTTATGAAGGAGAACGGCCCAACGGAGCAATCATATTTATCCCTCTGACCTGACATTGCATATCACAGCTCAGTTACATGGTGTCTGCTAGTCGCTATCTGATAGTTGTTTTTTGAAGACCCTTCGGCGCAGTATTC